TTGAAATTTATGTTTTAAGAAAAAACAAAAACATAAAATGGGTTTAAATCTAAGCCATTGTTGATCAGTGAACTTCAAAAAGGAAAACAGGTGTTGCATTTTTGTACAAGTTTTTTTTTTACCAAAGGTTCGCCTGTTTTTATTAAAAAGTCATTCAGAATTAAAGATATGCTATCGATATTAAGTTTTACCAACGGCTGGGAGCCTGTCAAGTAGATGGTGAAGGGCATTTTCAACATTGCTACGTCGATAGCACTAAAAAGGTATTTGTAACTTTTTTGTTTTTAAAAGAAATTTTTGCTCATTTCCAAATAACAACATGAGAAAAATAAAAAAAAAGGTATGTTTTAGATTCCATTTTTCACGGGCTTTTCAATGACCCTACACACGACATACCTTTGCATTTGAAAAAATAAAGTTGGGTAGGGTTGCAACTAAGGGGTTGAAGAAAAAAAAATCATTTTATTGGCAACAAATCCGTACAATATAAAATCAATTTACGTGTTTCGGCGTTTTTTGTTTAAATTACTGGTTCAAAAGATAATAATTTTATTCCGGACTTTTGCCCAACTCTGTATATTTTGCAAAATTCAACGTTTGTGTATAAAATTATTCTTATTTTCTTATAGTAGGTTGGTAGACACTGACTGTCAAATTGCATAGTTGCCGTTGTCATCCGATCGGTACTTTTAAGTTTCAATTCTTCTTTTTTCTAGTTTACTAGCCTCGACTACTAAAGGCTATTCAGCCGAATAATCAAAAAATAAGAATTTTTTGCATAGTTATCTTTTCTACATGTTAGAAATAACACAATTTGAGCTCAAAATAATTCAGATTCAGAAGTTTCCTCAGATATTTCACTATGCACTCTTTTAAGGGTCAATTATACACTACATTTTTTACTCGCACTGTTAAAAATATTTCAGATGATAAAGGAATTTGATGATTAATTATAGTGAGCCCCAGAATACATCCACCGTTTAGAAACCTGAAACAGGGACCCTTAATTTTCAATTTGTTTTCGTCATTTTGCCATTGACAATTTTAGAAAATTCTTAGATTTTATAAACTTTATAAAAGTTCGGCAACACTGCCTACTTGTGACGTTGTAAATTATAGGTGACGTGCATTGATATTTGTTTTGCACCAAACATGTGGGTTGAATAAATGCATTTTTTGAGCTGGTTGTGCACACACTACCATTCTATAATTTCCTCCCATATAAAAGATTATTGAGAATTTCAGAAAGAATTTAACTCATCACATTAATTAGGAGATACAATTATTTTACTAAATTATTAATTAGTAATTGTCATTTACAACCTGCCTTTACAACACTGGCCTTTTACAATGCATATTTTTTATTCACTTAAAATCACTCATGACGTCACGGCCATCTAAACTTAACTTTCACATATTTACCACAGAATGCAAATTTAATGTAATTGGAATATGCGAATTTCCCGTCGGTAAAAAGTCGATGGTTCTCCGTCGAGTTGACGATGTAAACGATAAGTAGGTCGTAGCCTTCAAGGGTTCATAGGTCGCACGAAGCTGATTCAGCTCGGCCGCCGCCGCCGCCCCCTCTCACCCCGTTCGATCCGGTCCCCTTAACTTACCCGCCTCAAGACAGCGAAAGCTTGAGGGCGGCACGACGGCAGGGGTGAATTCCGCCAGTGAAAAGCCGCGCGATCGATCGATAAAACAGGGCGCACTAGTTTTCGGTTTTCTTTTCCTGCGAGTCGGTAAATTTTACAAGAATTTCCAGTTGGAGACTCTTTAGCAGGTCCAAGAAATCATTGGATTTGTCGTTTGGATGATCATTATTACCTCGATCATTATCTTATACCTATAACTGGTACAATTTATCTTCTCTTATGAGGATTGTGCATTTCGTGTTGTTGCTGTACAACTTAATTAGTCGAATGCATGTGATTCATAATAAATTAGAATAAATTGGTAGGGGAAATATTTGGGGGGTTTCATTGTTTCGATTATTAAATCGTTTCCCATTTAAATCGAAAGGTATCGAGAAAGGAAAGGTCGAACTAATTAGGTTGATTGGAGCCGATTAGATTGTATGTTGGAAAGAACGGTAAATCGAAAATAATGTCATTGTAAAGTTCGTGATTTGTATTTATAGGTTTGCGATTTATAAGGATTTATGATTGGGGATTTCGGTTTGGATTCCGTTGAATTTGTAGGGCATATAAATAATGTATAAGTCGGCGATTTGAAATAGAGGTAATTGTGATATATATTTTTTATGCTTGTAGCTTTTTGAGAGATCGAGTTGGTACTTCTAGACAATGTCAAAATGGTGATAGCTAACAATTATACACTGTGTTTTTGAAATAAGTGGTCAAACTTTGGGAGCAAGTAGAGAATCTCAAAATTTGAAAAAAAACTTAAATGTCATTTTATCGAAATGTCAAGTTTTTGAAAGAACTCATTCATAGATTTTTAAAGATTACAACAGTTTCAATAATTTTTTGTAACAGAATTTTAAAAGTCATTTTTCGTGAAAACTCGTGAAAATCAACAAGTATACCTTTTTTATGTAGAAAACTTCATTTTTTCATATTCTTTAAACAAATGAATAGAAAAGGTTAAAATAAAAAGGTTAGGTTAAAATTACCCCCCATTTTAACCCACCTTTGGACAACTTTTTTAACCCGATTGAATTAGTGCCATAACACATTTCATTTGCTTAGTATGTGTACCAAATTTCATCATTTTACCTTTACTATTAATGAAATATTAATAAAAATAACTCTTCAAGAATCCATCTTGAACACCCTGTATACCGATAACCAAAGACATTTCGATAAAATGACATTTAAGTTTTTGTCATATTTTGAGGTTCTCTACTTTTGCTCCCAAAGTTTGACAACTTTTTTAGAAACACCCTGTATATTTTTCAAGTAAATTCCTTTTTATTCGAATCGGAATCATAATTGTTCCAACTTACTTCATAAACGTTTCGACATGAATTCGCTCCTTTTACTGAATTAATTAGGTAGGTAGGTTTTACAACGAAACAAATTATTTTTCTACCGATAATATTATTAGTTCCTACACTCTAGTAAAAAAGCCACAACCCAATAATACTGTAAAAGTTCTTGTTTCGAGAAGCCCTTTAAATAATCCTTTGAACAAGATTGTAAAATCATTTTCACTAAAGCTATTAGACATGGAAAAATCATACCATGAAAAATATTTTACTCTTTTAGAACTTTCTTCTAAAGTTGCATTAAAACAATAATAACTCAGCTAATAAAATAAGTAAAACTAAAAATACCTACCTATACATTTTATTGTATCTGCTCTATTAATCATACACACAGAACAATCTCTGTAACTAAATTTAAAGCTGATGACAATTCTTACAGAAAATATTGCCCATTTCTCATGTCCCTCGATAAAATTTAACTCTGTAAATAATCGGATCGATTCGGCCGTAAAACCAACCACTAACCCATCTCCTCGTTTCGGATCACATCGCCAAATCGACCGCCCCTGCGACGATGCCGCTCCCGCCGCCGCTCCCCCGGTTCCCGGTGGGCCGGGTGGGACACACCAGTCTAGACGAGTCGGGGGCGGTGCACTCGATACCGCCGCTCCGTGCGGTATATACAGTACGCGTAACGTACAGCGCCGGTACCTGTATGTATATAAAGGACGAAGGATGAAGGACGAAGGACGAAGGTCGTGGAACTGGGAAAGTGAAATCCCGCGACGCATAAAAACCCCGTCGTCCCTTTTCCCCGTACCCGGCCCCTTTCCAGTCTGCTTCGCGCCGAGCCCTTTTGCATTTTCCACGAAAATTCGTTGGTATTTTTTCTTCTTCGGGAGGACGCTAAGGGAGGCAATGTCTCGGTGTTACAGAATTACAAAGGTATTGCTCACGGCTTCCATTAATTATTGAAAATTCTGCTATATAAAATTTGTATTTCTACATTCAATTAACTGCAATCATTCACGGTTATTTACCCACTATCGTTCGCCGTGTAATGGCAATAAAAAAAAAGCGACCGTGTATCGTCGAAAGTGGAGCTCATCCGATTCCCGCCGGTTTTTCCATGAGTGCGGAGATATCCGATGCGTACATAATGTTATGTTGTGTCTGGCTCTATTGATCCCGTCGCCGCCGCCCGACGTTCACCCGATGCCGCCTCATCGACCATCATCCATACAGGGCGTCCGTTTTCCCGTCACTTTCACCGGGATAACTCGATTGTTAAAGAATGTGGAAGGCCGTGAAAATATGTCCGCCAGATAATACACGATTTTGATCGTTTTTGGAAGAGCTGTTTTATGTTTATGTACTGCATTGGATTTATTATTACGAAAAAACTGTATCTTGGTTCTGTAGTTTTTTAAACTAATTATAGGTTTGTTCCAGCAGCATGCGCAATGATTTTAAAACGTTCCATCAGAGTGTTATTTGGTGTTCTGGGTAAATGTTTTGATGTTCCGGCAGAATTCGTTTTTTGTTTGAGATCATGTTTGAGATCTGCCAAACTGTTCTCGTTTGAGGTGAGAACATTTAGAACAATTCGAAAATAAGTATGGTTATATTAGTTTGTTAATTGTTGGTCATAAATATTTGTTTAGTTACAATTTAGTTTTAAAATATGGAAATTATTGACTTATATGGAGCTATGGGACGAAAGTAGTTATGATGAATTATCGGAAGACGATTTTGAAGAATTGTTGAAACAAACGCAGAGGCCAAAAAATAAAAATTATATCATGGAAAGCGTTCTTCAATATTCGGAAAATTAATTCCAAGTACCTTTCCATATTACAATAACTACTTGAGGTGTTCCAGCAAGAAATGTTCCAATCTTATAACGAACTTGTATACATCAGGGCATGCGCAATACAATACTGATACAAAACATAATTTGAACATGCTGCTGGAACAAACCTTATATCAGTATTTAGGCGATACTCAAAGATATCTGGATATTGATTGGATTCGTTTTTATTTGCAGATTGTGATAGTAATGTCGCGGCAACCGTGGTCGCCGCATCCCTAACCCTTTTCTATGACAGCCATCTTTCCCACCATCAACGTTCTGGGCAGCATGGACATCAAACCCGAGATGATCTATAGAGATGATGACGTGTTGCTCGTTAAATCCGAGCCCCAGCTCTACTCGCCCACGAACGGTACGTATTACATCTAAATTATGCACAATTTCACCTAGTTATATGTCGAATTAATTGAGTAATTAGCGTGAAATATTTCATATATAACCTGTTCGCACTAACGTAACTGTGACGTCACCAACTGACAATACAATGTGTCTCAAAATAGTAGATAGTGACTTGGAACCGCTGCGTCATAATAAGTCATAATAAGAAAAAATTTAAGGGGTGATTCTGTGATGAAAATTAAGGTGGGGGCTTGCCGAATTTTTTTGAAAAAGTAAATTTTTATTTTTAGTTGGCTTGTGTTCATAATAAATACTATTTAACATGAAAAAACCTGTAGAGATAAAAAAGTTAATTTGTAAATGAATTGGACTTTGTTGCTATATTTTTTTGAAGAAAAATTTTCATCTAAAAAAAGTTTTAAGAAAATGTTCCTTGGGGGTTGATTATTTCAACCCCTTCTGAGCGTACTTCAGGGTTGAAAAAATTTCAAAATGTGTAGTTTCATTGACAAATAATATTCACCAAGTTTCGTGTCTTTAGCTTAATATAGTACAGGGAAAATGTGTATAGAAGAAGAACCATTTTTTTTTTCAATTTTCGGAAGAGTTTAACTTTTCCGGGGAGGGTTTTTTCATAAAAATTTTATACCACCTTAGTAGTACCCACTCACGTACCACCTTAATTTTCATCAAAAAATCGCCTCTTAAATTTTTTCGGTGTAATTTAGATATACACCCATATACAGGATGTTCCTAAACATCGTGTACATCCGAAAGGGGGTGATTCCTTAGCTTATTTTATGACTAAAAGTTCATATAAACATGGGTCCGCAAACGCTTCGTTACCGATCTACAGGGTGTTGAAATTTCAAGATTTTTTTTGTTTCTTTTTTAGAGCTCCTGTAGTTTTTGAGATATTTAGCTCAAATTAGGTATAGCATATAGGGTATAAAGTGTAATTTAAGTAGGATGAGGTCACTTTCAACATTTATTATAATGTAATTTAATAGTTATTATTTAGGGTTTTTGTTTTGTAAAATAAATCATTTGTACAGAAATTCATTTTAAATGTTTTTCTCGATAACGATCACAGAAACGAAAAATGTTTAAAAATAAAAAAAGTTTCTAAACAAAACAGACAATTAATTTTGTATTTTCGAATGTACCAGCGGCGCACAGCAAAAAAGTTCGGGGGTGAAAAAGGGTACATGACCCCTGAAAATATATGATTCCTGTAGAATTCAACAACCATCTGATATACCCAATAATATGTTTCCTATAAAACAAACTCGATTCAAAATTTGAGCTAAATATCTCATAAAATGCAGAAGCTACAAAGAAAAAACCAAAAAAAAAATTGAAATTTCAAAACCCGGTAGATCGGTAACGAAGCGTTTGCGGATCCACGTTTATATGAACTTTTAGTCATAAAATAAGCCAAGGAATCACCTCCTTTCGGATGTACACGATATTTTCAAACACCCTGTATAGTGGTTTATACGGGGTAGTGTCGCATGATATTTTTCCATGTATACAAAAATATTCAAAAACGTCCCGGTATATTCTTGATAGGTAACGTGACCGTCGGTAGCCTGTTGTCGGGCGCGTCCAGCAACGGCTTGGTGGCCACGTCGTCGGGCATGCCGCAGTCCAACGGCGTCTTGGTGGCCAGCAACGGCGCCGGCGGCGGCGGCGGCGGCGCTTTCGGCGCCTTCGCCAACGCGGTGGTTCAGCCGGTGAAGAACCGTCCGACGCGCACCGAGGACTTTCTCAGCTCGCCCAGTCCGGGCACGATGAGCGGCAACAACGCGCCGCCGTTGACGCCGTCTCCCGGACCGCCGTCGCAGGCGTACACGGTCATCAGTAACGGGTATTCGTCGCCGATGTCCTCCGGAAGCTACGATCCCTACAGTCCCAACGGTAAAATAGGTGAGTGGTTTTTTTTTTTGGTTTCTCCGGAAAGGGCTTCGAATTGGTCGATGAAATATCGAACTGTCCTTGTAATTCACTGGTTGTTCACATCTTGGGAAATAAATTTAAATGAAAAGGGGGTCTTGTGATACATCATTTTGAAGCTCCTAACAAATACTCTACAATCCTGGAATATAAAGTCAATATCTGCACCTGCTACAAAATGGCGGACATTTAATAATTACCTGAATACATCGACGTTTAACGTCATAATTTGAGGAAATAAGCTGAGTTCGAGCAAAAAATGATTTCGAGCAAAAAATGCTCGAAATGGTTGCCTTGAACTTCTTGATATAAGAACAGCCTATCCGAACATTTTCGAACATAGTAACGTCGATATTTCTACAAATATCTGTAATTATTTCTCGTATATCCAATATTGAAGCAGGTTCAGTTTCGTACACTTTTTGCTTCAAATAGCCCCATAAAAAAAGTCTAAAAGTGTCAAATCTGGTGAGCAGGCTGGCCATTCCGTAGGACCTCGACGACCAATCCAACGACCAGGGAAAATAGCAACCAAATAGTTTATTACTGTCTGGAGTAATGTGGTGGTGCTCCATCTTCCAATGGACAAGAATTGGCCATTTTAGAGTTAGTTCACGTGGTACCTAACTACAATAAGAACTAAAGAACCGAAAACTAAATGAAAATATTTTGAACACTACGAAAATCGAAAACTAAAGAGAATATTTTGAACACTAGGAAAGCCAAAAACTAAATAAGAATATTTTGACTAAACAATTAATGTTCGTTGACGTACTAAAATTTTTTGGAATTTTTTTAACCAAAAATAACCTGTCAAACCTTATCGGTTTGTTGGGATTGCTATTTGGCATAGAAAAACAAATAATTCTAGAAAAATTAATATTAATTTGTTTATATTCAGGTATTTATTAAATGTTCCGCAATTTTGTAATGGGTTCAGATATTGACTTTATATTCCAGGGTTGTACAGTATTTGTCAGGAGCTTCAAAATGATGTGTCACAAGACCCCCCTTTCCATTTAAATTTATTTCTCAAGATGGCGCCCAGTCGCCATCTTGAAATTTTCATCTGTCAATTTTACTCCAAAATATAGTAATCATGCATTAGTTTTGTTATCCTAAATTTCAATTTTCTAAGTTGATCCGTTCAAAAAATAAAAGGGGGGAGGGGACATTAAAGAAATGCACTGTATATTGAACTCGACTGGTATAACAATAATATGTAACCAGGATGCCCTGAAAAGATGAACAAAACAATTAAGGAGTGATATTCTGCATTAAAAAATAAGGGTATTTTTTCTTAATTATTATTTACAACTACCTACAATAAATAATAGTTGTATATAAAATCCTAAAGGTTCAAATAAATACAAAGATTATGAGTTTATAAAGGGTGGCACATTATATTATGGATAAGCTCAATCTATCAGTTATTGTAGATGCTTGAAATTTACGAAAAATATTCATTTTCTACAAAATGAAGTAGAGTACTAGAGACTGAGTCGTGAAGACTCAGTATAGATTTTTGGAAAACTAAATTAAACTGTTAAATAAAAAAATTTGTGATATTCTTAAAAAAGTAAAAGTTTGATCTACCACGGGACACTCTGTATAAATATAACCAATTTTAAAATATGCAGCTTAAAGTATCTATTTACAATTTTCGAGAAGAAGCTTTCTTGGTATCACCTGCAGCATACATTGAACTTTTGCCATACTAATGGGCCACCCTGTATACAATACCGGATGATATTTTTACTCGAAAATAGGATCATTTCATTCTTCAACGCCCTAATTTCCGATTCATTCATTTACTTCATCAGCATATTAGAATATGTGTGTTTCGTAATTAGCACAAATTCGTCCGGACTACGACTAATTGGCAACTGGCCAAAAACGATTCGGTCCGCAGACGTTACAACGTAAAGGGCCGTCTCTGTGAGAGTGTCTACGTGCCGACCGGTCGGGTGTTAACTGGAATGACGAATGCTCTGTTCCAGTTTTGAAGGTTCTAAATATACGATTCTAGATCGCAAGAATCTAGATAGCGCTCCGCGTTTTGACGAAATAATATTTCGGAATTCGTGGAATCACACCAACTAAAATTAGTCTAGGCTAAGGAATCGGTGTGTATCGAGTTCTCCGCGCTCAAATTAAGCAGGAAATTTCGAATTCCGATAATTTTTGAGTTCGAATGGTTCGCGAATTCGAACGCTTTACGTGAAGGGGGCTTAAGCTCGTTTAAAGGCGAATTTTTGAGCGTGTAAAAGAATCGGAAAAATTCCCAGCACGAATCCAAGATGGAACCGCGACCCAACGAACAATAGAAAGATATTCTAAACACGTTTTATTTAACGTTTGTTTTGCGCCTTGCATTCTCGAATCGAGTCGAATTCGTAAACGTTTTTGCGATGCATCGCCAGCCCATTCTTTATTCTCTTTCCGATATTTGCTAATGCTCTTCAGATCCTATACAGGGCGATTCAGTAAGCGTTTGGGTGAGAGCAATTGTATTTCCAATATGGTCAATTCTATGAGCTGTACAAAGAAAAATTATTCAAACAAGTGGTTATAGTGAGACATTTGCAATCGCACAATATAACTTTCTTTTTCCTTTATATGAAACTAATGGAAATTGTTCCATAACCTATATTGCAAACAATTTTGCATCTACCTGTATAATAAAGTATAAAAAGTAAAGGGTATTTAGTAAAGTTAGTTTGCCATCTCTATGGTAAACAAAATGAATTCCCACCTCTGCAATCTCCTGTCACAAAATATCACTAGTGTCATTATTTACAATTAATTGTTTGTTTACTTTCTGTATCATGCTAAGCAACATAAAGTCCCTCAAATATACATAAATTATATACAGGGTGATTCGCTTACAACTCTCTTAACAATACTTCTTGTGTAGTGGTAATAATAAATGTATTTTTTTTTCTTTACTTGAATATAAATATGTAGTCTTAGTGGAGCGATTTCTTTAACCCACCCTGTATTTACTAATACGGTGATTATTCACACATGCTTGGTAAAAAGTTTATTAAATTTTTGCAGCATACAAATCGAATTAGTGACAATAACCGTAGTTTTTATGTTGTAAAGGAAATTGGAAAATTGGAAATTGTAAATTGGAAGTTTGCATTAAAGTTGAGGATTCGCGATCCGGGTCGCGTATTTCACGGAAATCCGGGAACGGGGAAACTAGGCCATTGAATCCTGCTTTGCAAGGTCGCCGGTGAATTTAGAGGGCATTTCGGGTTACGATGGAACAGCCGGAAAGGGAGCGATATAATTAGGGAAATCGCCCGTATGAGGAATTAGGGACGTCCCGTATACATTACCAACGTAAATTTCCAATATTATCCAATTAATTTTTTTTATTGCAACAACAAACAGTCTGGGCCTTCTGTTGTACATACACTCACACTTGTCCAATTCGCTCATTAATCTGTTGGAGCGTGAAACGTTTTGCCAAAATAAAATATCGACGTCAGTCGAGCATTGCTCGTTTTATTCCAATAAATAATTCCGAATAAACAACCTTGAACTTGGGAGTTTATCAACCGCAGGAATCGTCGCATCTCGCTCCTATTTTCTCTCGGTCTCTCTCCATAGCGTTGAATAATATATTTTTTTTAACTGCCGATTTCCTAAAATTGCAGCGGCCATTGTGTTTCCGTAAAATTAAGGTGTTTTTTTTTACTCTGCGTAGATAAACAGCTTTATGTGTTTATTGAACTTGCGTTTAATTTTTTCGATAAATTTAATGATAATTCGATTTATTATTAGGTTTTTTTTATTTGACCTTAGCATATCCAAGGATGTTTTAATTGGAATAAACGATTTCGTTAATTAACTAACACATTTTTATTAATAGAAGTTTGAATGTTTTTCGCCTAATCTATACAAAAAAACAATAGGAGTTAGTTACAAATTTTCCAAAGAAAAATCTATTCATATTGTTTGAAATACGAGTGGACGTATCGAGTGCAAACTGGGAAAAATATTTGGTTTAGCTTATCTATTTATGTATTTAGAAATGATTCGAAAAATGTGCATAAAAACGTAAATATTTACGATATTTTTTTCCACCTCCGGACGTTGTTTTTCCGAGAGGTTATTATTATTAATTCTAAAATTATCGGGAAAGCGAGATAAGCGGGCGTGCAAGTCGATTGGAAAAATTTGGAAACGCTCTCGATGACGCGCTTGACGTGTATTTTTATCGAAAATCGTCTGAATGAGATAAGTTTGAACGTTGAACTTGAAATTTCATAAATTATTTATATTAGATATGACTCAGAAAGTTATACGAATCTAAAAGTAAATAGTCGATGTTTACACAATTTCTACTATTCGTACATTTGTAAATAAATCCCGCCGGACAGAATTTCGAAAATATTTCTATACATTTTATAGGTTATTATTTAATAACCGTGCCTTCATCTTAACCAGGCGACCTAAATTCTCCAATTTAAATCATTTTGTTCACTTTCTGGAGTTCCCTTGTAATTATTCCTCTCTTATCTGTTTCTACTGGTGTGTAAAGCATTCATAAATCATTCTATTTAATAAACATAGCGAAAAAGTTTTTGCTAACATAGAAATTACAAACTTTACGCAGGAGAGTGTAAACTGCAACGCCGAATGGCTGCAATAATTAATGCAATGCGAAAAAAAAAACCGTGCCATTTACATAAATTATCGAGACGCGTAGAAATGAAACGATAAAGAGGATGCGTTTCGTAAGTCTCGTTAATTGCACCATACAAAAATGCACCGACGAGAATTTCCATTAAATTTAAACAGCGATATTCTTCATTAATTTTCATCAATTTTCCCGGAGTCATCGGAGGTTGCATGTGTGCGCGTTATTTTTCAGCTTTGACGATTTTCCACGCTTCAAGGTCCGTGGGTTGTGCCTAACATCCCGACTGACGGACCGGTTGAACGTAAATCTCCCGGACGTGCATCCGCCTCTTTATGGCCGCTTCCCGAATACCGCCGTTTATCAAAAACACGCCAGCGTTTTGCCAGAATTATTTTCTACAAACCGTCCACGCGCCTCTCTGAAGGGAAAATTTTGATTTATCTCAGTGTATGTACATGTTTGTTGCGAAAAATTTATGTTTTTGCAATGTTTTTAAACGATTTCCACTTCAAAATCTAATAGGAATTTCTCGATACCTACCTACTAGTTTTGTGTATTTGAATGGAAGGTTTAAGTTCCTTTAATTGATTGATTCAATGTTTATTAATAAACCATTGAAAAGCACCTGTTCTATTTTAGTATCTCTTTTTTACACAAGTTTTTGTTCAATTTTTTTGGGTGTTCGCCGGAAATTTGCACGAGGAAAATCGACGGAAGGAAACGCCAACAAATCACCTACGGGAATTAATCAGAGCCACTCGGGGCGATCGAAAATTCAAAAAAATTCGCATTTCCTGATCGCGAACCCTGAATAAGAAACACCGAAAATGACATTTTTATGCGGAGCGCGACATGAAATATTCGACGGCCTCGAGCCGACGCGTAAACAGCCATTTTTCATTCTTGTAAATTCAATTTTTTAAGTGAAAATTAACACACGCCGTCTCGTGTCGTGCCGCGTTCGGTTATATGTTACAAAAAAAAACGCGAATGAATTTCAAATTGGCGAATAAAATCTCCCATAACGCATATACAGGGCGATTCGTAAATATAATCAGAAAAAACAGTTCTTCATTTAATTGTTTGTAAAAAAATACCAGTAGATACACTATTTAGATCTACAATACTATTTTTTACAACGTTAAGAAAATTACAATGGTGTAAAATATGATTCTGATCGATAATTCGTCGAAGTGTGAATGAATGAAACAGTTGTATTTTTTTTAATATCGCGTATTAACTGGGACGAAAAATGAATTCATCTGGACAATGTAGGTCGTTCAGAGAAAAACCTGCAATCAGTAATTTCTATTTTAGCGGTTTTTTCCTTCGTAACGACCGTTTAAAAACTCATTATACGTCCGAAACTTTCACTATTGCATCAATAAAATAATTAAACAAATTATTTACAATGCACTCCAACTCGCACCAAAACTAGATAGGTACCTCATACTAGGTGCAATCATTTTATAGAAACTTTAAACCACGTATGTAATTTTAAAAAATGCATCCATTTAATTCCTGATGCAATTTTTATCAAATACAATCTGTATAGCATTCTCCCGAAATCCTTTGTCGTGCCAGCGCAACGATTTTTCCACGAATCCGGCCGGCACGTAAAGTTTTTCACTCGGCTCGCAGTAAAATCGATATCGAACGAAACTGAATCCGGCCCCTCGAAAGCGAGCAGCAGGAAAAACCGGCGCTATTCTTACTGCACTCCGGTCTAGAGGCATCTAGATTTAGCGAGGCCAAGCCGTAGTTTCGACGAACGACTGTAGGTGTCGCATGACAATGCGATACGACGTTGTCCGTGGTCAGATCGCTCCTGCAGCCGCTCAGGAATATCGCTTCGAAACCGAAGAAATTGCGGCTTTTTAAAAGGGGAATTTGAGCGGTTTTTGAGTTTGTACCTAAAGCAAAATTGTAAACCTGTTGTAAAATTAGAGTTCCTGCTTCACCGCTCGTTAAAATCTAGTTGAGAAATTGTTGAGAATTGTTTTCTAGTCGCAAGAGGGCATCCCTGCAGTATCTAAGACCTCCATCGACAGATGCAAAGGTCGCAAACTTTTTAATTTACAGCAGGACAATGTGAAAATTGAACAATTGTGAACGATGTCGAGACGCTATGGGTTTGTTGAGTAAGGTGAAAGTCAAATCGTTTACCTTGATTCTCCTCGCATTCCATCTTCAATCGGGAATGTCGGAATCTCAATGAAAGGCGAGTTCTCGTTGCAACAGCGGAGGGGACCGGACTAATTGCGGCGCGTACATAATGACGATTTTTGCGCGTTCGGGTTCTCATGGAATCGGAAAAAATGCGCCTAATTGTGAATGGCGGGGAAAATTGCCGACAATTAATCATTGCGTTTGTTTTGAATGTGAAAAAGATGAATTCGATGGGAACCTGGTGGTGGATTTAATGACTGGAAATTGTTCTACGGATAGTTCAGATGATTATTATTAGATGCGTGTACCGGATGGGTATATTTATTAGTGCCAGAGCTTGGTAATGTGCACGAGATAATTGGAAAGTATGCATACAAATATGCGTTAAATATTATTAATCCGGTACTGAATTTCTTCTCTTATAAAGGAGATTCTACGGATTGTTTTGTTGCGATATAAGTTGAACTTGTCGACGAATTTTACTTGCGTATGTGCGAATAACTGTGAATTTGTGGGTACTTTTGTTATCAAACGAGAAACTCGTTTGATTCGTTCCGAGAATTACAAACTTCCAAGCCGGGTCAAATCTGCGTATTTTAAGAATAATGCATGAAATACACTGACAATAAATACAATCGAATTTATGGGAAATTCCTGAATTCAGTAAACGAAATTTTGAATATTTAGTAGATACATCGAGCACATTAGGTAATCACAATCACTGCTACTCCTGCTGGTATATTCAAGCATCATTTAATCTCCTTTACTTACCTATTTATCGAGTTGGGCATACCTACATTTCTAATTGTTTTTTCGCTTAATTGCCAGCGCGTTTAGTAGGTAGGTACTTACCTACTGTAAGTACAACTTTCGCTGTGTATCACATTACTATCGGCATCGAATCTCCCACTGCCCATACCAGTTTTTGCCGTTTTAATAACGCCGATCGTCAGTTCTCTATCCGGTAAAACTTGCTGGCCGCCATATTCATTCTCCGGCCGCTTCACTTCGATTTCTTCTGAAAACACTTTTTATTTTACCTACACTCGCCGGACCGCGTGTATCGTTATTCCCATTTGAAATCCTTTCTTGTTCGATTCACCTTCAGTAGAACGAGCTACAAACGCAAAATAAATTAAAGGATAATAAATAATAATAGTTTATATAAATAGTAACTTTCAAAATAGCCCATTTTAATGAATTTTAGCGCATATTTCATGGACATTTTCCGGTTTTTTTTAGTGCACTATTATTCAAGCACTATTTATCTATTTTATGTAAAAAATGAGAAATGTGCTAGTAAAACTTGTGCAAGACGAATTCGTTGGCCAATTTCCAATGTATAAATTCGAATACAATAGCGTTGCGCCGTAATTACATTGCTAATTTCAATGCAAATAACCCATAAAAACCTTAATTGCTCAATTATGCATAAAGACCAGATCAAAGATAGTGGATTTATTGAAAATAATGTTTGTTCTTGTTGAAACGGTCTCCTTGGAGCGATCATAAAGTCCGTTTGGAATTGAATACGTTATTTTTTCCACTCGAGATTTTAATTAATTACAATCGTACAATCGGATAGTTGGAAATAAAAGCGGCAACTGCGTTTCTGTTACAGCAGATAGAAAACAAGAACAAGAACAAGACCAGCGGGACAGTGAAGCAAGGAATGTGTAAGAGTGGTCAGAGTTGGTTCTAATTTAGTAAACCAGTTCTGTGACCATGTCAGGAGATGCTCCGATGAATTCACTAGTGATATTTCAACGATGATGCCGTTTTATGTTGCTTTGTTGCCGATTTTACACTCTTTCGACTCGTTGAAATTTCATCAGCGCAGCTTCGTTAAACACGCTCTAAAACACTGGACATTAAGCATGGAAATGTACGCTAAAAATGATTAAATTATGCACTTTTATGTGCATATATTAGTTTTATTTGTTATTTAACTAAATTCGTCAGAAGTTGAATTTTTCAACGAGTTTATAATCGTATATTTTGCAATCTCTTGTTAATTGTTGAGAAGCTTGACTGGTTTAAAACACTTTTTTGATATTGTTGAAGGATTTTAATTAATTTAAAGCATCTTTTTTAATTTGTGTAAATTTTTGAGAATATTTTTCAACTATTTTTAACTACTTACTTAAAAATAACAAATTGTGGAGCCACTGTATTGCAATTTATTTAACGCATTCGAAATTGAACAATGGCTGTTTTTGCAATAAATAAGCAATGGTGCATTAAAGCAAGAGTCAAAACACTCTCATACTCTGTGAGAAAATCGCCGTTAATGCAACGAGAAATTTATTTCTGCCAGAAAATATTCATGCATATATTGAAGTCGACATAAAACAATGGCAGTCGAAGAATGAATGAATCATAGACGTACCTAATTCCCCTTTTTTAAAAAAAAAATTGAATCCTATTTTTCAAGTTTAACCTCCTACTAATCAACCTAGGTACTAATCAAATAACTGTTAACAATCTACTTTGAGATAAGAAAATTTGAATTTGGGCATTTCTTAAAGTTTCTGCGAGTTTGCTGCTGAATATTCGTTGCTAAACCATATTATGACACGAACTATTTAAATAAATAAAAAAGCCTAATTACTGAATAATAAATAATTAATCTCATTAGAGATACGAAAACCGCCAATTATCCATTAATCTTCGGCCAAGGTTCGAATTCGTTCGATATACGTGTTTATTAATAATTCAGTAACCGAATCGAATTAACGTGACGACACAATGATACACTTTTATCATACATAATAGTAAAAATTAAAATTCGTTATCGCAATTGGCCAAAGTTATCACAAGGCCACGCAATTGAAAAGACCGCCGTCGTTCGTTGAACCCGCGATTATTATTGTAAATAAAATGGTTTAATTCCACTTTTTTGCGTAATGTTTTATTCACGTTTACCTTGAAATCGGTTTTTTTTATCATCGTCAGTGCGTTCGTCGAGCGTATGGTCGCAGGTACATTTTTATTAGATATAAATAATATTTTTTTTTGCAATTTGCCGGTTTTCGGTACGCGCCTTTCGGTCGATTCTGTGTTTGCCGAGGAAATTTGTTGTGCCAACAAAGCTTGAACGAGGCCTTTGTGCGACGGGGTAATTAGCGCTTTTCGGGAAAAAAATGGCGACGCGACGAGTAGTTAGCACTTGATATGTATGTTATCATTTATGTTTCGCCTAGAAAATTTATGTGAGTACAATGCTAAACACTTTACAGGAATGTATTTTAAGAGTAAACCAAAAATTACATCAAAATATAAAAAAATATCCTCACTTATCTAGGAAATTGGCTCGATAGCACCAAAGTACAAATACATGGAAAAGTGCAATCTTTGACAATTTTTAGCGCTATTTCCATGCATAATTTCTTATTTCCTAACAAAATCGTACCACCACTGTTTCTCATTACCCCTTTGACAAAACAACCCTTAACCGGACGGATTTATCGGCATCCATCATCAACCGTTTGACCGTATTTTAACTCGGGCCCGCGATCGAAAAAGTCGAACAGATGGTCGAGACCTCGCCCCGGACGAAGACAGATGACTGTTCGCCCTTCGATCGGGGGTTGTTACCCTTACACCTGCACTAGGCCAAGGCCGACGGGGCTCTTCTCGTTCGAGCACGGCGAAACGGGAAACGCCAACAGGCCGGTCCCGACGACCCGGCCAGGGTTATTGATCCTTCCGCGTTTCTAGGGTAAGGAAAACGATCATGTGGACCTGACCTGATCGACGGCTACACGCCAGGATATAGGTCACAGTTATCGAGGGTTTAGTTTATTTTTTTTTATTACTATTAGAGTAAGTGCGCCAAATATGGACCGGGTCTTATAATATGGACCACAGCTGTTTTAAGAAGAACGTGATTTATATCGAGTAAATGATCATTACACACTAAGCATCACTCCTCCCTTGACCCATCTGTCGCTTGCAGTGATCCAGGATATACATATTTACGACAGCTTTTTTTAGTTTTCTGCAACGCGCGATCTAATTTTCTAGCGAATTTTGAAAGTGTTTTTAATCCAAAAAATACTATTTTTTGTAAAAATGGATAAGACCACCAGGAAGGTGAGTCATGTTGCAATTAATTGTATTAAGTTTTAATATTCTAAAATATTCCAATTTTCTAAAAAAAATAATAATCTCCAAATGAGTAAGTATCACAATATGGACCAGTGACACGTTTTAAATATGGAGTGGCTAAAAATTAATTTTTATGTTCTAAAATGGCTTCTAAAACAATGGAGAAGACCAGACAAGCATGGGATAAAAAACGCAATGGTGGAGTCAATTAAAAATACACAAGAAAAGAAAATGGGCTTTTTGAATGCTATCAAAATATACACCCAAAACAAATCACTTAATGATATCACTCCCCAAAAATTTGGGAGACAATCAACATTACCGAGGGAATTGGAAGATGAATTAGTCAATTATATTCTAGAAATGGAAAAATCTGGATGTGATCCATATTATGTTCACTTTCTAAAAGTTCATTTAAATGATAAACTTTAGAAAATGTTACTTATTTCAAAGGTTTTTTTGGAGAATTTTATTACAAGTTTTTCTTAACCAAATGGTTAAGGAATTGTTTAATATAAACAAAGCTGATTAAAATTCTAATTTCGACTTTTATTGAAAAAAATGCTTATGGTGGTCCATATATGGCGCACTTCCTCTACTATTCTTTTAGAATTAACGTTAAAGTGCGCGATATTTTCGGGTTTCTTCGAATAGAAAAGAACAATATAAATTTTTCTTTCCGTGTAAATGTAACCTAGCTCAGCCCGTTGCGCTACGGCTAGTCGTAAGTATGCTACATTGGTACTTTTGTTTTCAACCTGTCGGTCGAGTCTCGCTCTGATGGAGCAAGTCGGCGCCTCGCTTCATGGTACTGGTACTGGTACCATCGTCTGACGTCATTTAATTCTTCAATTCTCGTCCTTTATTTCTATCTTCCAATGTTTCGAAATATGTTCAGGTTTCGGATACTACATTTGCTTTTAGGTACTACTCGCTGAACCGCCTTAAATGATCGTATTTTGCATATTTAAAATGGTATTATTAAGTAAGATTTAAACCTAAATCACAATGATGTGACATTTTTAAATTAAACACTCTTACTATCTACAATGAGAATTATTTCATTAAAGCAGTTTTGATAAAAAAAACATCATATTTTGAGCAAGATTTTATCCAATTACAGATAGTAATAAAGCGCGAAAAATTGGCTGTAGGGCAGAAAATTGAGGTCGATTCCCCGACCTCGATAAACACCGAAAAA